GTTTAAAAGTAGTGTTTCCCAACCTTGCCCATTTTAAGATGAGTGAATTCCAACCCCCAAAATACCTAAACCAGCCATGTGCAGGCTGGCGGGGGAATTCTGGGAGTTGAAGTCCACTCATCTTAAAGTGGCCAAGTTTGGACAACACTGCTTTTAAGGCATCTAAGCCAATAGGGGACCAGAATCACATCAAAGTTATGCACTACATGTATGCACAGTCTCCTTTACCTTTCCTAAAATCATTGTCAATTCATTTAATTAGTTGAGGTAACGCAAGAGCCCAACCACCTCTGTGCATGCTGCCACACTCTTGCTTCCTCTGGCTGAGGGATGGGTATCCTGAAAAATCATGACTGAGGGCTATTTCTCATGGTCAGGTTAAAATGCTATCCACCAGTTTTAAGCCCACAGGAAGCTATTCTGGCATAAAATGTGCCGCCTCTATTGTGATACAGACATGATCCCAGCAAATGTTGCCATCTTTACTGGCGCTGTACAAGCATGTTAAATAGAGGAATTGATGCGTTCTCCTAGTTTTGTTTCCCTCCCCTCCTTCCAAACATCACCAGCCAGCATGTACACACCCACCAATTGCTGTCCTTAATATGATATGGATAGGCTGAGGAGAAGATAGCCTGTCTAAACATACTATGTATGAAAACTCAGTCCAGTCATATCAGCTGATAGTCAGACTCCTTCTGGACATGAATTGAGCCTTATTCCAGAAAAGCACTAAACCTGTATTCAAAAGCAGCCAAAGAACAGCTGGCAGACATGGGGGGGATAGTGCCAAAAAACAACAGAGAGAAAAAACAGCTTTTTCTCTCCCACTTCACTGTACAGCCATCTACAGTACTTCAGCCATTATTGGTCACTGCTGTTCTGGCTGATCCGAAGGAAGAGCTGATTTGAAAGAAGTAGACCGGGCAGTTTCCCAAACCAGAATGACCTCCCAGGAAAATGCTCAAGGGTTGGAGAGGAAAGACCATGTTCAGACCAGCCTAAAGAGATACTTCACTGTCTCAGCAACAAAATGGTGAAGAGTGCCAGATTGTATCAAGGGCAAGGAAAAACAGTACTATGAAACTTAAACAAGAATGATGTAAGGCTGTCTCTGATATAGATTCGGGACAGTGATGGTAATGTCAACAGTACAAAAGGTTGCTAGCACATATTTATGCCACAGTGAGGAAATTGTGTGGAATCGAAACGCAGGACACAAATGCAAAATAATCAAGGCTTCACTGCAGTGTTTATTAGACAGTATGTACTGGACCCCACCAAAGGTTAGTGGGAGACACTCCCCTGTAGGCAAAATGAATGCTCTGAAATGTATACAGTTCTACAAGAAGGGGAAGGGAAAAGAACGCATACGCATACATATTTATATGATGATGCAGGCATACCTAAATGAGCAATACTTCTCAAGTTACTTTCTGCCCCCGTTCTTGTCTGCTATCTATAAGGGCAGAACAACTGCTGTCTATAAGGAAAGCAATAGTGTCAGAGAGGAAAAAACAAATTGTTCAAGGCACCAACTGCCAGGAAGAAGACATCCTCCCTTACATTGCTATGGGGATGTTTGTGATCAGGAGTTTACAATCAACCTAGTTCACACCAGCTTCAAGGGTGCTGCACATTCCTTTCAATTTTATTAAGGCGATCCCATTCCTCTGAGGCCTCTAAAAACTTGCTTCTTTCACCCGAAGATTCACCTAAAGATATATTTTCCTCACAAGTGCAAGTGAGAAAATGCTCTGAGTCTTTAGAGTCATCCAAGGATGATCTCTCCCTTTGTATTCTGGGAAGTTATGAAGGCTTATAGCAGCTGATGTAAAGCATATGCCCAGTAACATTGAATGATCCCTATTTAGAGGTGCCGCTGGTTCTTTGTTGCAGAATGATCGTTTGTTGGTTCTACTTGATTCCTTTTTCATGTTCTAGGACAGACAGGTTTAATGGTGGTGAAGATAAATAAGACACATCCATTTGAAGGTTATGCAGGAGATCGCCAGAACACAGAGAAGAAAATTCTCCAGGATGTCCTGAAGAAAGGAGACAGTTACTTCAACACTGGTGATCTCTTGATGGAAGACCATGAAGGTTTTCTCTACTTCCAGGATAGGGTGGGAGATACTTTCCGGTGAGTCCCACTACTCATTCAATGAGTAGATTGGGTCTGCAATTTTGCCTGTCTGAAGTGAATGCTGGGTGGGGCATGATACATCTGGGTTCACTACTGCTCTATGACTTTCGATTGCAGTCAAGAATTTGAATTTCAGTTGACTGAGGACAGTACAGTAATGTTCAAAGATGCTGGCTAATCCTTAGACAACTAATCTTAGATTTTGACTCAGAGAACTTGACTCATGCTTTCAAGTCAGTCTTGATTCCTGGCAACTGCCTGAACAAGTCCTTGCAGTTTTCATGGCAATATTTTCAGAAGTGGTTTGCCATTGCCTTTTATCTGGGACTGAGTGACAATGATGGGCCCAAAGTCACCCAGCTGGCTTTATGTTTAAGGCAGGACTGGAACTCATGGCTCCTGGTTTCTAGCCTGGTACCTTAACCAATACATCAAACTGCCTCTCCCAGATGTTCTGTGAGCACAATAAATATCTGTCTTATAGAAACTCCAGGTGTATTTATAGAATTACAGCAAAAAACAATGTAGAATCTTCTGATACTGTAAGGTCTAAATAGTTTGATTTGGCACGATTGTCAGGCACATATATACTTATAGTCAGTGGAAACTGAAATAAGTATGGAGCTAATAACTTCAGTAATAATGGCCATTCACAAAACAGTGGCTGGATCACGGTATAGAGGCCCTTGCATCGGTTAGCAAGTTATCTGATTAAAAAACCCCAACATCCTGGAAGCAGATTACAGCATGAAACCATTGAATTACATAATTCATAAAGAGGTTCATAATTTTCCTGCGGCTTGGACAAAAGCAAGGATGTTCCATAGAAACATGGAATGTGTCATGTAAGCCATCATCCAATTCCCTGCTTAGTGCAGGAATCCATTTGAAATCATCCCCGAAGTATGGCTACCTTGCCTCGGCTTGAATATGACATATTTTGCTCAACCTAAGCCCTACAGGTAAAGATGTAATTGAACCTGACTAGGTGGCAAATATTTCCAGCTGCCTGATACCCACCCCAGAATAGAGTATCCTCCATGAAGAATTCAGCTACAACCAATTAGAATGTTTTGCAGCATTCAAGATAACAGGAATGGCCAGTGAGACCCAAGGAAACATAAGACAGGCAATTATACCATAGCCCAAAAGGGTACAGAAACAGAACCATCTCAAAGCAGAAACAAAAGCAGCCCTAAAAATTCTAAGAACAACCAAACTATTGCTATCCTATAATACAGGGTTCCTCAACCTTGGCGACTTGTAGATGTGTGGACTTCAACTCCCAAAATTCCATGCTGG